AGACGGAGTTTTGTTCTTGTTACCCAGGCTGGAATGCAATGGCACGATCTCGGCTCACTACAACCTCCACCTCCCGAGTTCAAGTGATTCTCCTGCCTCAGCCTCCTGAGTAGCTGGGATTGCAGTGCCTGCCACCACGCCCAGCTACTTTTTGTACTTTTAGTAGAGACAAGGTTTCGCCATGTTGGCCAGGCTGGTCTCGAACTCCTGACCTCCGGTCATCCGCCCGCCTCCACCCCACAAAGTGCTGGAGTTACGGGTATGACCCACCACATCTGGCCTGTGTTTTTATTATTATTATTATTTGAAAAATTGCTTAATTCGTTGCCAACATTTTTTTAAATGGGACACTTCACCCGCTTTGTTGAAAATATCTGGTACCCTGGCCCAGCATTCCTGTGTGTCCACAGCCAGCTGGAACAGTCCCCATACCTGGGGCCATGCTCTCCTGTAGGCCACAGTGCTGAGCATCTGTGTTTGAAACCCTGAGCATCAGCCATCAGACAGAGGCTGACCCAGTTGGAGGGTGTTATCGCCATCCCCTGAGGGCCCCAAAACTTATCTATCTCAGATATAAGAACTTGGCTCCCCACCATCCCAATTGGGAGATAAGGGCCTGGAGGACAGAATGGCAATCCACCTTTATTAGAGAAAACCCTGCACTGTAACTGTTTTAAATAACATATGCCCTACTCCACCCAGTGACTGGTGGGCTGCCGGGCATCCTCAACTCAGAATGGTGGTGTCTTCCAGCTTCTGCTGCTGGCTAGCAAAACTGTAGTAGTTTTCGGGGCCCAGGTCCCACTTCTTGGTGTAGTCCGCATCTGTTTGAGTGTGTTGAGGAAGAGGATCCAGGTGCCCTTGGTGAAAATGATTTTCTTGTAGGCCTTCTCAATGCACTCGGCCATCTCATCCCTGATAGCGTCAAGCAGGATGTGGATGAAGGTGTAGCTCTTGGCAGGGATGTTACCCTTGGCCAGGAACACCTTGTTGTAGCCGCCCTCCATCAGGTATGGCTCCAGGGACACAGAGTGCTTGATGTAGACATTGGTCTGGATGTCCTTGGCAGGCAGCCACTCCAACTGCATGTGGAACTCAGCCACCCAGTCCTGGGACAGCAGGAAGAGGAGGCAGAGGCCCAAGAGCTGGTGCATGTAGGCTGACTTGGGTAGCTCTTAGCAGCTGACTTTCAATCAATCAAAAGGAAAATTATCCTGGGCGGGCCTGACCTAATCAGGTGAGCTCTTCAAAGTCCCTGGGCCCATCCTGAAGGAGAGATTCAGAGGATGAGAGAGATTCTTCCACTGGCCTCACAGGAGCAACTGCCATGTTGGAGAGAGGACCACAGGGCGGAAAACCACAGGCAGCCTCCAGGACATGAGAAGGGAGCCCAGTTGGCCGGCAACAAGAAAGCAGAGACCATCATCCAACAACCCTTAGGAACTGAATTCTGCCAACAACCCATGAGCTTTAGATGAAGACCCTGAGCTCCAGGTGAGATTGCAGACCTGGTCGAAACCTTGAATTCAGCCTTAGGAGACCCTGAGCCCACGACCCAGCTGTACCTGCAAGTTTAGACTCTGCTGGTCCCCAGGTCCTGGTTCCCTGAAAGGGTAACGCTTCTTCCAAAGGACTAAGTAAGGGGTTCCACTGAACCTAGAGCTTCAACTGCCATTTGGGGCTTCTCATGCCAGTGAATCAGAAAGCATGTAGGAGTTATATACTAATGGCAGCAGTTACCCCTGGTTATCCTGAGGAAATAAGATTACTTTACCTAATAGAGGCAGGGGAGAGTACGTCGGGAACTCAGGGATTCGCTAGGCCCTCCCTTGTTTCCCTACACAGCAACCATACCTGGCAAGAACACAGGAGTTAAGGGCTCAGGTCCCTCACAGGAAAAGGTCTGGGTTTCCCACTGGACAAGCAATGGAGACTAGCAGAAAGATTAGCCAAGCGTGAGGGGAATTTAGAATGGGGAATGAGGGAAATGGTGAATATCAGTTCCGATCTGGGTACCAACCGCAGTAGAGGAAGCTGTAGCGTGAGCTTCCTGCCACCTTGTTGCAAGTCTAGCTTTTAGAAATTTCGATTGGTCATCCCAGAGGAATTGGTGACAGAATGCCATGAACCAGTTGTGGGGCATGAATGAATCCGAGTGGTGCAAATGCTGGAAAATAGTGACGCCCCCAATGTGGGCCCATATCTCCGGCCTCTTAATGCAGCCAGTCTGACTTCCAGCTGCTAGCACCCATGTCCCCTACTGCAAGCTGGAATGCCACCAAAATATGCCCATGGGAGCAAACTTTAGCCAGTGACTGACAGAGGGAAGCGTACACAAATATGCCCCAGTTTCCTTGACTTCCAAGTCAGAATAAAGTGGAGCTTCCTGGCGGGGCATGGTGGCTCACACCTGTAATCCCAGCACTTTGGGAGGCAGAGACGAGCGGATCACCTGAGGTCAGGAGTTCGACACCAGCCTGGCCAACATAGTGAAACTCTGTCTCTACCAAAAATACAAAAATTAGCTGGGCGTGGTGGCACGTGCCTGTAATCCCAGCTACTCGGGAAGCTGAGCCAAGATCGTGCATGAGAATTGCTTGAACCCAGGAGGCAGAGGTTGCAGTGAGCCGAGATCACACCACTGCACTCCAGCCTGGGTGACAGACCAAGACTCCGCCTCAAATTAATAAATAAATAATATAAAGTTGTTGATCTTTTACCATATCATTTAACATGTATAAAGATAAAATATATTTTGTATATAAAATATGCATGAAATAAAATAGATTTATTTATTTATACATATACATACAAAATTTTTAGTGACATAAAACAATTTCTTACATTTCTTGACTCGTAGCTCGGCTGGGCATTTCCTCTGCTGGACTCGCTCATGTGGCTGCAGTCACCTAGAAGGTCGTTTGGACTGGAAGGTCCAAGAGGGACAAATTCCCACATGCAGTGAGTAGTTGGTACTGCTGTTGGCTGGGTGCCTCAGTTTCCCTCCGTTTCAGTCTCAGGGGAGGTTTCATAGAGGGAAGGTAAAAGCACAAAGCCTCTTAAGGTCTGGGCTCACACAACATCACTTCTGCCATGTTTTTTTGAAATTCGTTTTATTGAGGTGTAATTTACCATGAAATTCACTCATTTGAAGGGTACAATCCAATATTTTTAGTAAAACTACAGAGTTGTGCAACCATCACCACAATCCAGTTGTAGAACGTTTTCTTCACCCAAAAAGATCCCTCATGCCCATTAGTAGTTAATCTCCATTTCTACCCTCAGCTTCTGACAACGACTAATCTACTTACCATCTTTAGAGATTTGTCTTTTCTGGACAGTTCTTATAAATGGAAGCATTTAATATGTTGTCTTTTGCATCTGGATTCTGGCTTCTTTTACTTAGCATAATGTTTCTGAGGTTCATCCACATTGTAACATGCATCAGCAGTTTGTTCCTTTCTGTGGCAGAGTAATATTTCATTGTATGAACATATAACATTTTCTTTTCGTTCGTTTGACTCCCGAGTAGCTGGGAGTATGCACCACCAAGCCCGGCTAATTTTGTATTTATAGTAGAGATGGGATTTCTTCAGGTTGGTCAGGCTGGTCTCAAAATCCCAACCTCAGGTGATCTGCCTGCCTCAGCCTCCCAAAGTGCTGGGGTTACAGGCATGAGGCTCTCTTCCCGGTCAGATCACATTTTCTTCATTCATCTACCAGTTGATGGACATTTGGATTGTTTCCAGTTTTTTGTCATTACAAATAATGCTACTCTGGGCCGGGCGTGGTGGTTCACACCTGTAATCCCAGCACTTTGAGAGGCCAAGGCAGGTGGATCACCTGAGCTCAGGAGTTCAAGACCAGCCTGGCCAACGTGTGAAACCCCATCTCTATTAAAAATACAAACAAAAAAAAAGCTAGCTGAGTGTGGTGGCACATGCCTGTAAATCCCAGCTACTTGGGAGGCTGGGGCAGGAGAATCACTTGAACCCAGGAAGCGGAGGTTGCAGTGAGCTGAGATCTCACCACTGTACTCCAGCCTGGGTGACAGAGTGAGACTCCATCTCAAATAATTAATGATAATAATGATAATAATAATGTTACTATGAGCATTCATATGCAAGTCCTCACGTGCACATATATTTTCTCTTGGGTAGATACCTAGGAACGGAATTGCTGGATCACATACTGGAAACATTCATTGTTTTCCAGAGTGGCTGCGTTATTTTACATTCTCACCAGTAATGAAGGGTAATCTAGTTTCTGTACATCATCTCCTCTTTTTTATTCTAGAACAGACTCCATCTCCCCAATTATTTTCATGAAATTAAGTGTTTTAGGCAACCTGGCTAGTTGCATTGCATTAGGTGACGCAAAAGTCATTGCCGTTTTTGCCATTACTTGGTTTGGGACTTGCTTATGTGGCAGTCATCTAGAAGGTCGTCTGGGCTGGAATGGCCACATAAGCAAGTCCAAAACCAAGTAATGGCAAAAACTGCAATTACTTTTATACCAACTAATACAATCTCCCACATTCCAGATTTGACTTTATTTCTTTGTGATATTGTTTGGCTTGTTTCTCTATCCCCTGTATTTCCAGGAACTGGAAGTAAGACCTAAAGACTTCATCTTATTCAGGTTAACATTTACATCAAGAGTCATATACTGCCTGATGGGTCCCCTATTAGTAATTTTTAAATTGATTGCTGTATTGGGGTAGTAAAAGCCAGATGTCTCCATTTTAAAGGGTTTTTTTGCCCTTTGAAATTAGCAAGTAACCCATGGGAAAATGCCATGCCTATTGCCAAAAAATAAGCCTAAAATAAAAACAGGAAAGGGTGTCTTAGATAACTTACAAAATATTAAACCTGAAAATGACAATTGAAATTAAACATGGGACAGGGACTCAAAAATGAGGACTCATACCTATAGTGCCAGCTGCTCAGGAGGCTGTGGTGGGAGGATCACTTGAGCCCAAGAGTTGGAGGCCATGGTGAGCTATGATCATGCTACTGAACTCCAGCATGGGCGACAGAGCAAGACCCTGTCTAAATAATAATAATAGATTATTTTAAAGAACCATATGTATACTTAGCATCTGTAAGGAATCAAGCAGTACAACTGAGTACTCATTTGGCCCTGAATTTTCTGACAACCAAAACATAAAGCAAAGATATTTAGTTAGAGGGCCAGGCGCAGTGGCTCACACCTGTAATCCCAGCATTTCTGGGAGGCCGAGGCAGGTGGATCACCTGAAGTCAGGAGTTCAAGACCAGCCTGGCCAATACGGTGAAACCCTGTCTGTACTAAAAATACAAAAATTAGCCAGACATGGTGGCAGACGCTTGTATTCCCAGCTACTCAGGAGGCTGAGGCAAGAGAATCGCTTGTACCCAGGAGGCGGAGGTTGCTGTGAGCCCAGATCACGCCTCTGCACTCCAGCCTGGGTGACAGAGTGAAAGTCTGTCTCAAAAAAAAAAAAAAAAAATATATATATATATATATATATAAAGTTAGAGGGCTCCCTTCCAAATGGAATAAGGTACATGAATTGTTTCGTAGAAGTGAACTGGACTTCAGCAGGAATTTCTCACAGGGATGCTTATATAAATACCTCGAATAAGGTAATGAATAATTATTCTAATGAGTATGAAAGCCCAGACATTTGTGTACCTTCACTAAAGAACCAGTCCTCTGTATCTGAAAAGAACGACCTCCTCCACCAAACATCCAGTTTCATGAGGCAGACCCTAAAGAGTGAGAAAAGGAGATACCTGTCATTCCTGCGGGATCAATTAAAGCAGCTTTAGTAACTAGTAAAATGACAGATGTTACAAACAATTTTGCCTAACAGTGTTTTTCTGGTTACTTTTATATTGATATTTCTAAGGGAAATAGGATTACACATACACACACACACACGCCCACAGAGAGAGAGAGCGAGAGTCAAAAATTATTTCTAGAATGGACACGGTGGCTCACGCCTATAATCCCAGCACTTTGGGAGACCAAGGCAGGTGGATCACCTGAGGTCAGGAGTTCAAGACAAGCCTGGCCAACATAGTAAAACCTCGTCTCTACTAAAAATACAAAAATTAGCCAGGCTTGGTGGCGCATGCCTATAATCCCAGTTACTAGGGAGGCTGAGGCAGGAGAATCACTTGAACTCAGGAGGCGGAGGTTGCAGTGAGCCAAGATCACACCACTGCACTCCAGCCTGGGCGACAGAACAAGACTCTGTCTCAAAAAAAAAAAAAAAAAAAAATTAAGATGGATTAACAAACAGATACAAAAATACAAAAATTAGCCAGGCTGCAAAGCGATACCTATAATCCCAGTTACTAGGAGGACAGCAGATAATCCAACTGAGCGAACAGTGGTCAAGAACCTCTGCTGCACCCAGCCTGGGCAGAGGGAGAATGACTTCACCATGTTTATCTAAAAAAAAAAAAAAAAAAAAAAATTATTCCTGGTCACCTAATATATTACAGTCAGATAACAGATACCGTAGAACACTAGACAAATATAACTCCCACCAATCTTCTTTCACATTAAAATTGTTCCTTTCTCTCTCTTTCTCCCTCCCTTTCTCACCAGATGTCACAAGCAAACTTCTATCAAAAGCTGAGTTGCAACCAACTCGTAGTGGTGAGTGAGTAAATGTCAGTTTTCTGTGTTGTGAGTAGAAGAAAACACACGTCTTAGGCCCCAGACATGCAGACGGCAGGATTGCGAGTGTTGGGAAAATGGAGAAACGTGATTTATATTCTTACCAGAGACAAGCCTGTCCTGCTTCCTCAGGGGTGCCACCAGAACCAATTATTTCTCTCAAAAAACAGCTTTGGGTCCACTCAGAAACTCAAAGAGAAGGGCTTTGTTCATAAATCCATATCATAAAACATGGAAGAAACACATTTGTCTTCAAAGTGCTGGAACTGTAGTTTTTAGAGTCCCAACTGAATTTCAGCTTTATTGCTCACTAAGTAGCCCGGAGTTACTAAGGCCTCAAATTTTCTGCTTCCACGTCCTTGAAACAGGGATCGCATCTATCCCCCAGAGTCGTTCTGAAGGATAAAGAAGATAAAGTAAAGAAAGTGCCCAGCACACTGTGAGCCATTCAAAGACTCCTGCACCTCAGCGCTCCCAGCGCCTTTCTGCAGCCCAACGGGTGGAGCTTGTGCAGCAGGAAGACCTCAGGAGGCAAGACAGTGGCTCTTTGTGAAGAGCTGAGCAAGCCCTTGACATAAACTCTGCGAAAAGCTGGACTGGAAAAAGGCTTAGGACTGAGGGTAACGGAGCATTCCACTGCTTTCCCCATAAATATCTGCCATTTCACCTGCACGTCTTAGGGTAGATGGAACTTCTGCCGCCTAAGGAAAGCCCAATGCACAGTGCATTCCTAGTGCCAGAGCAAAGGGCAACAGAGCACGAGGGAGTCACGCACCTTCCACTGGCCCAGGCCCCAGCTCTGAGAAGACTTTGGCCATTTAGCCTGTGGCTGGGGCAGGAATGCAGGCCAAGCTGCCGCAAAAGTAGGAAGTGAAGGAGGAAGGATGAAGTCTTTGGCATAGTAATCTCACTGACGAGTAAAACCTGCCTTGGTGAATATTCTGGGCTCACAATCAAACTAATCACTCGTCTTCCCAGAAGAAAGAGAGAGGGGGGCTGTACCTGCTTCCTCCAACACTGGCCAGAGTGGAGAGGAAGCAGAAGCCCTCATCTGTGAGCTGTGGTGGAAACTGGGTAGAAGGGCCTGACCCTAGCAGTCCCTTTGGCCATTAAAGGAATCCTGATTGCCTCAAAGCCCCTGGGTTTTCAGTACATTGTGTATTAGTGAGTTTATTAGAATTATTTAGTAATGCTGCCAGGCACGGTGGCTCACACCTGTAATCCCAGCACCTTGGGAGGCCAAGGCGGGTGGATCACCTGAGGTCAGGAGTTTGAGACCAGCCTGGCCAACATGGCGAAACCCTGTCTGTACTAAAAATACAAAAATTAGTTAGGCGTGGTGGCAGGCACCTGTAATCCCAGCTACTCAGGAGGCTGAAACAGGAGAATTGCTTGAACCAAGGAGGCAGAGGTTACACTGAGTTGAGATTGCACCACTGTACTCTAGCCTGGGCAACAGAGCAAGATCCCATCTCGAAAAATATATATATACAAAAATTAGCTGGTGTGGTGGCATGTGCCTGTTATCCCAGCTTACTCTGGAGGCTGAGGCATGAGAATCTGTTGAACCCAGGAGGCAGAGGTTGCAGTGAGCTCAGATCAGCCTGGCCAACATGGTGAAACTCCATCTCTACTAAAAATACAAAAATTAGCCAGGCATGGTCCTGGGCGCCTGTAATCCCAGCTAGTAGGGAGGCTGTGGCAGGAGAATCGATTGAACCCAGGGGGCAGAGGTTGCAGTGAGCTGAGACTGTACTGTTGCACTCCAGCCTGGGCAACAAGAACGAAACTCTGTCTCCAAAAAAAAAAGAATTATTTAGTAATGGAAAGTGCTAACTCTTTGGGGGTGGGAATAATTAGTATCGTTCTCTTAAAGGCTGAAACTTGTTTTATACATGCAAAAACTTTCGCAGAGTTCTTTGTTCCTCAAGGAGAGTGTCATTGGCACTTGGGAGGGGTGGGGGGACAATATTTGGTTGTGTCCAGATCCCATACTGGCAGAGAATTTAGCATCCCTGGTTCCAAGATACTAAAGGCCAGCTGTACCTCCCTATTCATTATGACAGCCAGAAAGGGCCCCTGTGTGGTTCCAAATGTCCCTTGGAGGGTTAACCCCCCACCTTACTGAGAATCACTGGCTGATGGGCAGATGCTCTTGCTAAAAATAGTTAATCAACAAGTATCAATTTATTTTTGTAGCTATTGGTTCATGATAAACAAGCCAAACGATTTCATGATATTTATTTTTCTGTTTGCTAAGTTAGCAAGAATAAGTACCCTTTATGTAACAGTTTTACATATTTGATTAGCTAACACATAAAGCACTTAATATCGTGCTCAGCAAACTCTGAGCACTCAGACAGCTACAATTTTCCTTACTAGTACCATTATTAGTTATACTTGACTCTTAAATATTTGTTAAAAGGAAGACCAAAAGTAGCAATATTGTATACCATTTTGAACTTAAATTTCCCCCGAGAAGGATTATTTTTATATTTTCCAATTCCTACATTACCACTCTCATCTCCCCAAGGCTCAATTTCCTTACCTATAAGGTAGGGATGCTAGTAATGACACTGTGGGGTGATTAGGAAGCTTAGCTGAGTTATGTGTGTGAAGGATCAATGAAATCAATGAATGATAGCACCTAAACATACTTCCTCCTGGGTTACCTTAAAATGTATACGGGAAAAAAGGTGGAGATAGGGGGAAAAAAAAAAACAATCAAAAAAACTCAGCTTCAAACATTTTTATGTAATGAGAGTCCAACCAACAATACACATTCATATACATTAATGTACATTAATGTGTATCCCAGTCACCTGGGAAACTTGTTACAGTGCAGATTGTGACTCAGTAGTTCTGGTGGAGGGCACCTAAGATTCCCCATTTCTAACAAGCTTCTAGGAAGAGGTTTTAGAGTCCAACAGAGCAGGATTTGCACTTGATTCAATCAATAATTATGTGACAAGTTATATTTGAAACTGTTTCCATATGAGTAAAATGGTGATAATAATACACGTCTTACATAATCAGTATGATAATTATATAATACAGCATATGTAAAGCAATTAGCATATTGTAGGCACTCAGTATAAGTTCTGCTTTCCCACCCAGAAGAAAACTACTAGAGTTTTAAAAAGATTTATCAAAATAACAAAATTTCATTTCATTTTGGGTGGAAAAATTACTCATGAGGTTGGAAAAACGCCTACTTTTTCCTCACATTTTTGTTATCATTATCTTACTCTTTGATTTAGTAATGATCAGACGCACTTTTGAAAAGCAACAATATTGAGGGACAGAATGTATTTTACAAAGAAAAATGATCACTTTTAATTTGGTCTAAAATAGTTACTTCAAAATGAAATAGGTAAAGAACGACTGATTATTAAATTGCCAATTTCTTTTCAAAAAGTAGCCCTTCAATCCTGTATGTTAATTTACAGTGTTATCAGCTCACAACAATAAATTTGCTTGGCCAAATGGTTTTCATTTGAGTCAGGCCAGTATTCCCAGAAAAATCGTCCATAGGTCCAGCCTCTGCACACTAGGATTCCTGTGGTTGAAGGTTAAAGCACCCCAGTGCCAATCCTAGTACACATTTCCTAAAATTCTTCAGCAAGTTAATGAGGGCCGAAGGGGTCATCACATTTGTTCCAGAGATCTGAGAGTTCTAAACGCACAGCAGAAAGAAGTATGTGCACATTAAAGCAGGCCAAATGGGACTAACCAGAAACATGGACCAGGAGAAATAACATCTTCCTGATGTTAGGGAAGGTCAGCCCGGCCATCCCCGTCACCTACTTTTCCAGAAGAGCGAATAAGGAAGTATCTAAAACTTCGGCTCGGGGTGCTGTTTGGTTTGGCTTGGTTTCCTAAAATTGTTCCTTTGTAAACAGATCTGATTAAAGCACAAGAGGAAGTTGAGAGGGTCACGATTTTTGCATTTGCTGCCCCTCCCATCACATTTCAGAAGAGGAAGTTTAGTCAGGAGGAAATGAATTCCTGCCTGGTGCGGTGTCTCACAGCTGTAATCCCGACACTTTGGGAGGTCAAGGCAGGAGGATGCCTTGAGCCCAGGAGTTCAAGAACAGCCTGGGCAACATAGCAAGACTGCATCACTAAAAAAATAATAAATAAAATATAAAATAAATAAGAACCTCATCACTTGCCCAGGGAGCTTGAAAGAAAGTTTCAAGCCACAGTGGCCACATTACTGTTACATCCAAGATGAGAGAGGCCTTGGTCTCACCTAGACTGGTAGACAACATTTGTAAAATGGAGAGACGAGAGGAAGAAATAAAAAGTCATCCAGACGTACATGGTGATCTGACTGCTGGAATGAAATTAAGTAAGGGTTAAAATCTACTGAAAGAGCTGGATCGGGCCTGGTGCAGTAGCTCATGCCTGTAATCCCAGCACTTTGGGAGGCCGAAGTGGTCAGATCACTTGAGGTCAGGAGTTTGAGACCAACCTAGCCAACTTGGTGAAGCCCCATCTCTACTAAAAATAACAATACAAAAAAAAATTAGCCCAGAGTGGTGGCAGGTGCCTGTAATCCTAGCTACCCAGGAAGCTGAGGCAGGAGAATCGCTTAAATCCAGGAGGCAGCAGAGGTTGCAGTGAGCTGAGATCGCGCCCCTGCACTCCAGTCTGGGTGACAGAGCGAGACTCTGTCTCAAAAAAAAAAAAAAAAGAGCTGGATGATTCACAAAGACAAATCTAAGGAGGAATTAATTCAAAGGGCTAAGCGGCTGGAGAGAGCTGTCAAAGAGCATGTCAAAGAAGTTCAGAGTTCATACGGATTTCCCACTTTGAGTATTCAAATAGAAATTGACAAGAAAACATTCACTGGGAAATTTGACGGGGATCACATGACCCGAGGGAACTAATGTTACTAGGCAGTTTTCTGCTGAGGAGTCTCGTTAGAAACCATCCTAGGATAGATTGATAGGAAATTCCATGATAGGGAAAAAAATGCAAAAAAAAAATATTTAGAAAAAATGCCCAAAATACAAACTACTACTTCTTGCAAGTTGAAACGTAGCAAGAAACAGCATTCCCTGTGTTTTGTGAGCTCTATGCTTGTAGTCAGGTTTCGATTTTTCAAAAGAAATCTGAGAGTTAGAACCACAGCAATTTATCACGATAACCAAGGTGTGAAATGAGGCTAGATACAGGTTGGAGGCAGGTCCTGGCCATGTAAAGAATTTCAGTTTTACTCTACATGCGACTGGAAGATTTTTAAATGTTAGGACTGCTTGGTTATTTTCTTTTTTTTTTTTTTTTTTTTTCTTTTTGAGATGGAGTTTTGCTCTTGTTGCCCAGACTGGAGTACAGTGACTGGTACATATTAGGCTTTCATAAAATATTTTGCGAATGAACGAAAGGGAGTAATGTAGCTGCAGGACAGGTTTTTTTTTCGGGGGGCGCGGGTTGTTGTTGTTGTTTTGTTGTTGTTGTTGTTTGAGACAGATTCTCCACCTGTCGCCAGGCTGGAGGGCAGTGGAGCGATCTCAGCTCACCGCAACTTCCAACTCCCTGCTTCAAGCAATTCTCCTGCCTCAGTCTCCCAAGTAACTGGGATTACAGGTACATACCACTATGCCTGACTAATTTTTGTATTTTTAGTAGAGACGGGGTTTCACCATGTTGGCCAGGATGGTCTCGATCTCCCGACCTTGTGATCCGTCCACCTCGGCCTCCCAAAGTGCTGGGATTACAGGCATGAGCCACCACGCCCAGCCAGGCTACCTTTATACTAGAAAATAACGAAGCAGCCCAGGCACGGTGGCTCACGCCTGTAATCCCAGCACTTTGGGAGGCGGAGGTGGGTGGATCACCTGAGGTCAGGAATTTGAGACCAGTCTGACCAACATGGAGAAATCTCGTCTCTACTAAAAATACAAAATTAGCCAGGAGTGGTGGCTCATGTCTGTAGTCCCAGCTACTGGGGAGGCTGAGGCAGGAGAATCGCTTGAACCAGGGAGTCAGAGGTTGCAGTGAGCCGAGATCGTGCCATTGCACTCCAGCCTGGGCAACGAGAGTAAAACTCCATCTAAAACAAAAACAAAAACCAAAACCTGTCTTGCAGCTACATTACTCCCTTTCAGCATTCACTAAATATTTTGTGAAAGCCTAATATGTACCAGTCACTGTTCTAGGCTGTGAAAATAAACTGCTGGACAAGACACACAGGGCCACATCCACTGCTACCCTGGATGGTGTCTTCAGACAATGTTTTTAAAGACAGCCCTTCTGGTCGGAAAGTGGAGGCAGACTAGATTTGAGCCCATGCACCCACCTCAGCTAGGTGTCCTTGCACAGGGCACGACCTGTACAAATATTTATATGTGCCTGAACAAATGACTTGACTTCAAGGGACATATGTTTCGATAGGAGCAGATAGACTACAACCAAGCAAAACGCAAGATAACTATAAAGGATGATGTGATCAGGAAAAACTACAGGGGAAAGAATTTCATAGATAGGATGGTCAATAAAGAGATGGCAATTCAGCTGAGACAAGAAGTACAAGAAGAAGTCAGCTGTAAAATAAGCAATGAAAAGTATATTCTGGTAAATGAGAAGAGCCCGTGCAATAGCCTTGGAGCAGGAATGAGTTTGACATCTTTGAGGAACAGATAGGAGGTTGGTGTGGCTGGAGAGCCCTGACCAAGTAGAAGAGCAATATGGGACGAAGCTGGAAGTGGGTAAAATTCCCATGTTATGTAGGTTTTGATAAATTGCAGGGCCTATGGGACGTGAATTTAGAGATGTCCAGTGGGCAGGGGTATGGAATGGCAGTGCACACAGTGACTTCACATGCATCAGCATAAAAATGTCACTGAATCCCTCGGTGAGAATAATACTCCCTAGGGAAATAAGGACTGTGGACAGCACCTTCAGGAAGGTAAAACTTCAAGAGGCATGGTAGAGGAGAGTCAGTATAATACCAGAGAGTAAGAGCTCAACCTCTAAACACCAGAGTCTCTGGGTTTGAATCTGTTACTTTCTGTAGAACATGGACAAACTATTTAACTTCTCTGCGTCATGGGCTCATCACGTAAAATGGAAATTTAAAGTACCGATGTCATGAAGTCATTCAGAGGATTACACTGTAAAATGTATGCAAACTATTACAGTGCCTGGCACTTAGGAGGGGCTCAGTAAATGGCAAACAAGAACTCACACAAACACACAAATACACACTCCCATTTTCAAAAAACAAAAAAAACAGAAAAAGGAACTTTTAAAGAGGAAGAATGAGAGTCTGGAGAATAGTGTCACTGAAGCCAATTGAAGAGAGAGTCAAAAGATGAAGATTCACTAAATACTTCATCATTCACTAAATATTTTGTGAAAGCCTTATATGTACCAGTCACTGTTCTAGGCTGTGAAAATAAACTGCTGGACAAGACACACAGGGCCACATCCACTGCTACCCTGGATGGTGTCTTCAGACAATGTTTTTAAAGACAGGTGGCCCACACCTGTAAGCCCAGCACTTTGGGAGGCCAAGGCAGGAGAACTGCTTGAGCCCAGGAGGTTGAGACTATGAACCCTGAACTCCTGGACTCAAGAGATCCTCCTAATTCAGCTTCCCGAGGATGTGGGACTACAGGCATGCACTGCCACACCTGGCGAATTTTTTTTTTTTTTTTTTTTTGGTAGATGTAGGATCTCCCTATCTTGCCCAGTTCATCTCAAACTGCTGGGTTCAATGGATCCTCCTGCCTCAGCCTCCCAAAGTGCTGGGATTACAGGCATGAGCCACCACACCTAGCCAATAGTTTTTAATCCACAAGTTTCTCATAAAGAAAATGAAATGACCATAAATGTAAAGGAACTGAGCTCTTGCAAGGAGTTTTTGAAGCTAGCTCTTTGAAGGGTACATTTTTAGTCTGAAACTTTTCTGGAAAAAAAAAAAGTAGGAGTTAAACAAAGGGAGTGGGTATTTGTAGTCCAAAGCCAGAGGCATTGTTATCTCTTTCCTTGAGGGTTCAAGGACTAACACAATGACAGAAAAACTCCCTCCCAGTTCCGCTTTATTATCATTTTATGTCATTTGTTTTGTGACAGAGCCTTTGTTGCAGACACCCTCTATGCCCATGGATAGGAAATTAATAATCCAAGGCCATTTTCAGAATTTTTTGTTCCAGTAACCCTTCTGAATCATACACCTGGCTCTCCAATATTACCAATCAGCCATTTTAAAAATTATTTAGAGATAAAAGAGGCTGTCGTGGCTCATTGTAGAGTGACCCTGACTTCATCTCCATTCAACAAGTGCTGGGACGTAAACAGCACACACATCAGATCAGTTTTATCACTATTCCGGGAAACACACGAGATAGGCCTGAATATGAAAATGAAGTCATTTTCAAGGTCACTATTTCAATAAAGGAAAATCTAATTGAAGTCAGCTGATTGTAAGTAAGTTTTGACTAATGGTATCAGCCTTCTCTCTCTATGCCATAAATTATTCACATATGTGGATGAGTTATTCTGATTTTCATGATGAGATTCTGGCTACTGTGCCATGTTCAGCTCATCCTGAATTTATTCTAACAAAAGAGTTCTCTTACCCTGGATAGGGCACCCTGTCCCCTGGAGAGATTGTTCTCTGATGAAGCCCATCTGGCAAGCTGCCTGGGCTCCCACGTCCCGCTGAGCCCGCTAACAGCACTGCCAGTTTTGACCACAAGGTGGCGCCCGCAGAGCGCCACAGACGCTGCACAGCTGTGAACTCAACTCCAGCCCTCAGGGAAGGCAGCTCAGAAAGAGCTAGGGCAGCCCGCCCATTTCCCAAAAAGAGCACTGAGAACCCAGGAAGGTGAGGACCTAGCCCAAACTACACTGCTAGTTTGGAGGAGACAGAACCATGCCTCCTGATATGGTTTGGCTGTGTCCTCACCCAAATCTCACCTTGAATTGTAGCTCCCAGAATCCCCACGTGTTGCTGGAGGGACCCGGTGGGAGACAATTGAATCATGGGGACGGTTTCCCCCATACTGTTCTCGTGGTAGTGAATAAGTCTCACGAGATCTGATGGTTCTATAAGAACGTTCCCCTCTCTCTTGGCTCTGTCTCTCTGGCTTGCCCGCCATGTAAGACGTGTCTCATCAGCTACGTGGAACTGTAAGTCCATTAAACCTCTTTTTCTTTATAAATTACCCAGTTTCGGGTATGTCTTTATCAGCAGCGTGAAAACGGACTAATACACCTCCTCACTGTAAAACCCGAGTTCATCCGGCCAAACCAAACTGGTTTTCAAACCAGAAACAAAATAACAAGCAACACCACTTTTTTTAGTGAAATTTTGTTGATAAAATATACTTTTTTCACTGCCCCATCCACCCCACCCACGCCCCCACGCCTCAACAAATGAAAATAGAGTCGCCCTGATTGAAAGAATCATTCCTGAGGCGTCGCTGAAGAATCAGTAGGTTCCTCAGAAGAGTTTGAAAATGATTGATGAGGCTGGGTGGTGGCTCATGCCTGTAATCCCAGCACTTTGGGAGGCCCAAGGCGGGTGGATTGCTTGAGGCCAGGAGTTTGAGACCAGCCTGGCCAATATGGTGAAACCCCATTTCTACTAAAAATACAAAAATTAGCCAGGTGCCTGTGATACCAGCTACTGGGGAGACTAAGGCAGGAGAATTACTTGAACCTGGGAGGTGGAGGTTGCAGTGAGCCAAGGTCCCGCCACCGCACTCCAGCCTGGGCAACAGAGGGAGACTCTGTCTCAAAAAAAAAAAATAAGAAAATGATTGATGGAGTGGAATAAATTCTGAGCCAGGAGCCCTCAAACGTGCTTGTCGTATTGACGTTCTCTCTCTGGTCATAATTCTCTTCCCTGTTGCATTTCCACCTCCTCCACAGCCTCTAAATCTCCCCTGGACTCTGCCAGGGTTCAGACACCTGATGTCCCCCTGACCTCTGAGTTTACGAACCCCAACCTGGACCACAGTTGAACCATGTGGCCACAGTCATGGGAGCACTTGAAATTCTCCAGCCCCTGGCCCTTCTGCCCCACCTCCCTGGCTAATGCCTTACCTTGGCTTCCTCCTGCTGCTGAGTTCTGCCAAGAAAATAAAAGTCACTAGTTGGTTATGTTACAAAATTAATGGTTTCCAGCTTTAGCTGGGCCGCTGACACTATGAACACCGCTTTGCAGCTCTAGTGGATTCCTTTTTCCATGCCTCACAGAGATGACCTGGCCATCCAACCCACTCCTTGCCTCTATCACTGTTAACACAAAACTGAGTGCTCACTGCATGCCAGATACTGTTCCAAAAACATCATAGGGATTAACTCCTTTAACCTTCGCAACAGTCCTACAGGGCAGAAAAAAAAAAATCCCCACTTTACAGATAAGAATCAGAAGAATAGAGATCAAAGGACTGAGAATGTGAGCCTAGGTCATCTGACTGTAAAACCTATGTTCTTAGTCACCAGTGCCATGGGGCTCTGGTGACCGTGCCCGAAGTGCCACTTAGAAAATAGAAGCTCTTTTGGCCGGGCTCAGTGGCTCATGCCTATAATCCCAGCATTCTGGGAGGCTGAGGCAGGTGAATAACCTGAGGTCAGGAGTTTGAGACCAGCGCAGCCAATATGGTGAAACCCCATCTCCACTAAAAATACAAAAACTAGCTGGGCACAGTGATACCCACCTGTAATCCCAGCTACTTGGGAGGCTGAGGCAGGAGAATCGCTTGAACCTGGAAGGTAGAGGTTGCAGAGTGGAGACCACACCATTGCACTCCAACCTGGGCAACAAGAGCAAAACTTTGTCTCAAAAAAAAAAAACAAAAAACAAAAAAAAAGAGGCCGGGTGCGGTGGCTCACGCCTGTAATCCCAGCACTTTAGGAGGCCGAGGCAGGCGGATTACGAGGTCAGGAGATCGAGACCATCCTGGCTAACACAGTGAAACCCCATCTCTACTAAAGGATACAAAAAATTAGCCGGGCGTAGTGGCGAGCGCCTGTAGTCCCAGCTGCTCGGGAGGCTGAGGCAGAAGAATGGCGTGAACCCGGGAGGCGGAGGTTGCAGTGAGCCGAGATTGCGCCACTGCACTCCAGCCTGGGCGACAGAGCAAGACTCCATCTCAAAAAAAAAAAAAAAAAAAGAAAAAGAAAAAGAAAATAAAAGCTCTCACACATCAAGTCCCTCTATTTCCATCCCTTCTACCTAATTGTTTAACCGTATCTCCATCTATCCTTTAAACCTTCCCATTCTACCTGTAATTTTGCTTCCAATTTCTCCAGAGTTCAGAGGACTTGCTCACCAATGATTCGTCCCTAGTTCTTCTGCTGTATTGAGGGTTCTGATAAAACCTTGTTTGCCAGACCCAGTGGCTGTCCCTGGTCCTCGTCCTTCCAAACCTCAGAGGTGCTTTGTCACTACTATTTCCCTCCGTCTCAGTGTCTCCTCCTGCAGCTCACAAGATGCTATTCCCCCCCTATCTTCTACTTCTACAACAGGCATTCTCACTTGCTGTTTCTGATGCAGATGTTTGACGCCTTCCTCAGACCACGTAGGTCAGAATTGCTAGCTGCATAGCCCAGGCATTTGCAAGTTTTCAAAGCTCCAAAAGTGTTTTGTTTTTGTTTTTGTTTTTGTTTTGAGACAGAGTCTTGCTCTGTCACCCAGGCTGGAGTGCAGTGCCACAATCTTGGCTCACTGCAACCTCCGCTTCAAGTGATTCTCCTGCCTCAGCCTCTCGAGTAGCTGGGATTACAGGCGTGCGCCATGATGCCTGGCTAATTTTTGTATTTTTAGTGGAGACAGGTTTCCCCACGTTGGCCAGGCTGATCTCAAACTCCTGAGCTCAAGTGATCTGCGCACCTCGGCCTCCCAAAGTGCTACGATTACAGGCATAAGCCACTGTGCTCGACCTCAGATCAATGGTTCTTAAACCTGATTGAGCAGCAAAATCATTTGTGGAGGCCGGGTGTGGTGGCTCATGCCTGTAATCCCAGCACTTTGGGAGGCCAAGGCAGGCAGATCGCTTGAGCTCAGGAGTTCGAGGCCAGTTTGGGCAACATGACGCAACTCCATCTCTGCAAAAATTAGCTGGTGTGGTGGCGTGTGCCTGTAGTCTCAGCTACTCAGAAAGCTGAGGTGGAAGGATCACTTGAGCTGGGAGGCAGAGGTTGCAGTGAGCCAAGATTGCACCACTGGACTTCATCCTGGGCAACAGAACCAGACCTTGACTCAGGAAAAAAAAAAAAAAAAAAAAACCACTGATCTGAATAAGCCAGACACTGACAATAAATTCTGTATGATTCCACTCATATGAGGTACTAGAATAGTCAAATTCACAGAGACAGAAGTAGAATAATAGTTGCCAGTGTAGACTAAAAATAAAATTCTAAGCCCCTCAACTGACTAAACGAACCTGCTCTTAGCCAAGGGAACCCCAGAGAAACCTTTTCTTCTTTTCTTCGAGATGAAGTTTCACTCTTGTTGCCCAGGCTGGAGTGCAATGGCATGATCTCAGCTTACTGCAAATTCCACCTCCCAGGTTCAAGTGATTCTCCTGCCTTAGCCTCCAGAGTAGCTGGGATTACAGGCATGTGCCACCACACCTGGCTAATTTTGTGTTTTTAGTAAAGACAAGGTTTCACCTGTTGGCCAGGCTGATCTCAAACTCCCAACCTCAGGTGATCCACCCACCTCAGCCTCCCAAAGTGCTGGGATTACAGGTGGGAGCCACCATGCCCGGTGAGAAACCTAAAAAGCTGAGTTCCTAGCCATGACAGAATGGGAGGGCAGGCACACCTCATTATATCCCTTCCCTTTTGCAGTTTAGGCACAAAATCTGACCAGTACTGATGTTAAAATGGAGCTCATAATCCTGACACAATGGACTTTTTGTGGCAATAAGATAGCACATTATAAACAGGACCTAAGGCCATGCCAGGCAAGGAGTAAACCACGCACTCCCTAGAATTAAAGAATAAACTATGTTCTCATTGCCATCAGGGTTTTCTTTTTCTCTAGCAACTAAACAAGCACTGGCCTTGAGATGAGCAATGCTGAAGCAGTTGCAGCTCAGCCACCATCAGACACTTAGACTGACTCCCCGTTCCACCAGCCATCACTGCAGCTTTAACTGGACCAGAGACTGAGTTCTGTAACTTTCTCCTGATAAGAGGCCACCAACTGTGGACTGGTTCTGGCCAGTTTACAGAAGCTGTGCACTTGAGAGGCTTCATGTCCCTGCTTCACCTTTTGATGTATAGGCCCTAATTGTAATATATTTAAATGTTAAGTCTCCGCTCCAAAGTGAACATGGGTCACATGTAACATGCACGTCTGCTTATCACACATGCTTCAGGACCCCCTTCATGAACATTCATAGCTCCTCCTGTAACCTGTTGAATATGTATGTTTGGCCAACCCCCTCAGCATAATTCCTGTCTCCCTTGAAGAGCCCATCTTTCAGCCTCTCCTGGAGGCTACACTTCCCAACCTGTCAGAACGGCCACCTTGCAGGCTGTAATCCTTTATTTAAATTAAAAAAAAAAAAAAAAAAGTCTCCTTCTAAATTTTGTTGTTTTTGTTTTTGTTTTTGTTTTTTTGAGACAGAGTCTCACTCTGTCACCCAGGCTAGAGTGCAGTGGCACAATCTCGGCTCACTGCAAGCTCCGCCTCCCAGGTTCACGCCATTCTCCTGCCTCAGTCTCCCGAGTAGCTGGAACTACAGGCACCCGCCACCATGCTCAGCTAATTTTTTTTGTATTTTTAGTAGAGATGGGGTTTCACCATGTTAGCCAGGATGGTCTTGATCTCCTGACCTCTCGATCTGCCTGCCTCAGCCTCCCAAAGTGCTGGGATTTACAGGCGTGAGCCACCGTGCCCGGCGTTTTTTTTGTTTGTTTGTTTGTTTTTAAGATAGGATCTTGCTCTGTCACCCAGGCTGTAGTGCAGTGCAATCATAATTTACTGCAGCCTGGAAATCTTGCGTTGAAGCAATCAATCCTCCCACCTCAGCCTCCTGAGTAGCTGGGACTACAGGCACACGCCACCCAGCTATTTTTATTTTATTTTTTGTAGAAATGGGGGTCTTTCTGTTTTGCTTAGGCTGACCTCAAAATCCTGGGCTCAAGCCATCGTCCCACCTCAGCCTCCCAAAGTGCTGGGATTAAAGGTGTGAGCCACCACGCCCAGCCACCACGCTCCTTTCTAAATGTACAGATCCTATGCTTTTTCAGTTGGCCCCAGAAACCTGCGGGTTTCTTTGCCATCACTATTTCCTCTGCCTGAAATGACCTCTTCTGCCTTCTTTCCTAGCTAATTACTGCTCATCCCTTTGGCTCAGCTCAGGGCTGGAGCTGGACTAAGTGGACACTCTGCATTCCCTCTCTCTCCGGAATCTCATTTGTTCCACAGCTTCCACTCTTACCTATGTGTTATTGATTCCCAAATCTATCTCCAGCCCTGGCAGTGCTCCTGAGTTCTGCCTCCCATTCACACTTCCACTGGCTTTCCCTCAGACGTCTCAAACCCAACATACCCAGCACTCAAGTAATCATTTCCCCCTTTGCTATCCTGCTTTTTCTCCTGTTTTCTGTTTCATAGACTAGCATCATCATGTATTGTCTGTGTCTAGTACTTAGAACAGTGCCTAATAGCTATAGTTTTATCTTTTCCAGAATGTCATATAAATACAATATACAGCCTTCTGGCCTGTGGCTCATGCCTGTGATCCCAGCACTTTGGGAGGCTGAGGTGGGAGGATCACCTGAGATCAGGAGTTTAAGACCAGCCTGGCCAACATGGTGAAACCCCGTCTCTACAAAAAATACAAAAAATACCTGGGTGTGGTAGCAGGTGCCTGTAATACCAACTGCTCGGGAGGCTAAGGCAAGAGAATCGCTTGAACCCAGGAGGCAGAGGTTGCAGTGAGCCAAGATCACACCATTGCACTCCAGCCTGGGCAACAGAGTGAGACTCCATCTCAAAAAAAAGAAAAAAGAAAAGTTCCAGAAATAAACAACTCCTAAGTTTCCCACGCTGTTCTGATAACCGTGATGAAATCTCTTGCTGTCCTGTTTCATCCTGCTTGGGGCTGGCTGTGAATCATCCCTTTGTCCAGTGTCTCCATGTCGTCTACACTACCTGCCCATCAATCACTTAGTAGCTGGCCCAGTTATCAGATCAACTGTCATGGGATTGAAGTGTGTCTGCTCATTTCAAGTTTTTTGGGGGGTTTTTTTGGTCCAGATTTATAACTTAATGACTGTGCAGGTTCCAGTCCCTCATTTCTGCTGCTCACAGGCCCACTGCTCCGGGGTCAGGGTTTTCTGTTCAAAGGCATGGGTGTGCGAGAGTTCTTCTGCTAGGCATGCATTCACCAACCGGTGCCTCTGAAGCAGTGGCTTCCCCTCGAACTTGGCTGACACCACCAGGAAGCTACAGGCGCAACGGTTGAAGGTCGCGTCCTCCACCTCCATGTGCTCCA